TTACTTCAATATATGACGACTTGCACCCACCCTGTTTCTCTTGTAGACAAAAGGTGCCACCTTCTGGAACACCCTGGGGATCTCTTCTCTTGTGTCATTGTTCACCACCCTCAACAGACAGTTAGGTATAGTACAGTACATCTTAGGCACCACTAGCATTTCTTCTGTCACATAGAATACCTCCCTGGAAAAATATAAACAATACCCATGGAATGACAATCACAAATGGGATACACAATACAATTATTTGTATTATCAGGTTCAAGTCCAACATACTTTTCCTCTATCAGTCTCAATCAAAGCAAACTTGAAAACATTTTTTGTCGAAATTTACATTAAATTCTGACATTATGAAGGGAAAAATTGAATTCTCTGACAGGACCTGTAAAAAATCAATGTACAAATGAAACAACAGCACATGCACAAGTAAAATATCTGAATTTCAACTGTCTGTTTCTTACCTGAACACCACAAACCAAGTGCCAGCTGGCTGGTCAGGGAAGCTGCCCTGATAGTCAGCATAGGAGATCTTATTCCACTCATCTTTATGGAAGGGGTACTTCTCCATCAGGTCTGGGTCTGCTTTGAACATGGCCCTGGAGTCAGAATGAAACCATGAAATACTAATTAACTTTCAGTGATTTAAACTGAAAGTGCTCATGTTTCTACATAAAAGCCATGATGTGTAAGTGCATCCTGCTTTATGCCTGCCTCAAATAGTAAATACTTTAAAGAAACTCAAATGGTCAAGGAACAAACTTAATACAAATTATACTCATTTACTAATCACTATTACAATCAGCATATAATTTTGCTGTCATAAATGCAACACCATTTCAGGCAGAATGACCAGGCAGAATATGTCAGACTGATTGTACAACAGGATAAAGAAAATAAATCAAATTAGAAAACATTATATCATTATCATTATGTCTTTGTACCTAAACAAGTTAAGACCATGCTGCTCCATGTTGGGTTCCAAAATGGTCCAAGCCTTCTGTAGCTGTTCCAGAACTTTCTGGTGGTCTTCTGTCCCAGACATCCTGGCATTCCGTATCTTCCTCACGTAACACCCTCGCCAACCTTTCTGGAGTTTTATGGTGGCAACATGCTCCTCTGGGGTAGGCTCTCTGGAATAACATAAATTAAAACAATAACGTTAAGAAAGATGATCACAGATTCAAATAATACTACACATAAATATGAAATCATTTCAATTTCCAATGGTATTGCAGGGGAAATATATTTGAAAATTATCAGTGTCATAAAATTGGCAATTTTTTATCTTTACTTCAGGCATTAGTAAAGCTCCTTTAATCCTTTTGTAGAATAAATTTGCACAACATTTGGGGGGGGGGGGTGAGTGGGAATGATGCTTATTTAGATTAGTGTTTCTTTAAAATGCTTTTAGAATTCACAATGTGCATTAAAATAAAGATACTCAAATTTGACATCAATAAGGTGAATTTTTTTTGTCTGTCTTTCCTAAGAGGTTCTGTTTATCATCATCAAACATGGGAGCACAACAGCAAATGAATTTCCAACATATTTACAACACAACATCAGAAATATATAAAGTATTTGGGTATAATATGCCTCAGTGAAGGGCTATATATACAGACATTAATCTAAGGCCTCTGAAATATTGGTATATGAAACCATAACATGGACTTGGAAGTTAAGTAGATTACAAGAAAATGAATAGTTAAGGGATAAGTAAGGGGAACATTTGGATATATTTTGTACATACAATAATGGTACTTCAATGAAAAAACAAACAGAATCTCCAGCACAAACCTTCTCTTTTGCCTTAATGATCCAAGAAGATTTGTCAGATTGTATGAGCTATCAAAAGATATTGTCAGAATGAAGTTTCTGAATATATACATAAATGTATTCTATCAATTATTCTGATTAAGAAAAAAAAAGAATTTATGCTAATAATCAATACTTGTTAACTTCCTTTCCAATATAGCAAATCTATCAAATCATTGCACACCCACCTGTTAAGCCAGTTTTCTGGAGTTTGCTTGTCTACCTCACCTGCAAATGTAAAATATCATTCCTTATCTGTATAGGCAGATATACAGATACACATTGTCCAATTATTACCCTTTCCCCAACCAGTTAATATCCCCAAAGCATTAGGCCACTGAAGCCTATCCCAAAGCATGCTCAACTTAAAGCAATTAATTTAAACAATAATCCCAAGCCTCACAACAGAGACATGCTAGGAGAAAGTATTGAACAAAGGAAATTAAAATTAAATCCTAAACCATTTTAAGAATAAATAGTTTACCCAAGCAACATCCAGAAATTACATTTATGCAGTAAAATAAAAATGAACAACCATACTTGTTAACATCATGATCATTTTATACTCAACATTCCCTTTAACCCTTTACCACATATCCCTTCCATTATTTTTTCTTCATCAGAACAGTTATTTCATATTGTAAAGGAATAAGTGGTGAAGGGTTAAAACTGACTCGAGAACAATATTTAGTATTGGTGCCAAACTGCAGAAAACATCATGGCATTGAAGCCAATGTGGCCAAAGAAGTGTGACTTGTCATGCATACAGCAACAAACACAATACAGCAACCATGGCTCAAGACAAGGCTAGTCTTTGAGTTCTTCAAGCACACTTTTTAATGTGCATTGAATTATGGTTAAAGAATATATAACACCAATAGAGAAGAAGATTGGTTAATGGGATTGTATTCACAAACCATTATGGAAGTCAACATTGGCAGATAATAAGTCTAGAGTGCTCTTCAAGATGTAGTTGTGCTCGGTATACCATATTAAATTCATGAGATAAGGTCCAGGATTTTTTCTGAGTTGAAGAGTTTTCATTTTCAAGGAAGTGCAGATTGTTTCTGTTAGTAAGGAATGTTTCATAGTCAGAAGAAATACCACAGAATTGGCTTTTTAGGCATTTTAGAAAAGTAAGGTATATGTAACACTGAAATCAGACCAGTTCTTTTGCATTAAAAAATTTTCATCTTATTTCTTTTTATAAACAAAAACTAATTATTTTCATAATATAAATGTAATTAATCAAAGATGTCTGATCTGATAACAGTGAACGCAGGGTCAAAAACTCTTCACTGACAGACTGTAGAAATATGCCCAGTACATACCCAGTTCAGCAGTTTCTGCCATTCAAAAGGAAATCACTATATATTAGTAGGTTTTTGACCATATTATTCACAACTAACAACTGTGTTATATCACACATATGGACAAATGGCACTTGACACCATATTACACACATCAGTGACACAAAAAACAAGCAATGACGCTATGCTGCCTTTCAATCAGCAATATGTGTAAGAGCACCTCCCCCCCCCAACCCCTTGTGCTGTCAGCCATTTGAGGCACACAATGTCAACTATATGCCAACAATTAAGACACCTGTCACACTGCACTGCACAATATCAATTAACTACACTTGCCTAACAATACATACACCAGCACAGCATATTGGCTAATAACTGAACTATATGCCAACTATACCCCTTTCCTCCCCCCCACACACATGTACATCAGCAACACTTGCACATATACTAGTGCATGGCTCTACCATATGTTATGCTGTAGTCTATGGTTTTTTCACAAATGAGTGCACAACACTGTAACGGCAAACTAACAGTGACAACATGGTGCACTAATGCAGTAAGACTTTATGAACCTTTGGCTAATAAAGCAGCTGCTAACGAAGCGTTAAGTGGGTCCCCACCACTTGTCCCAAAGGCACCTGCTGCTGCCTTCATAACTAATAGCAAAAATCAATAAGCAATTGACTAAAATTTTTACAAAAAACAACTACATTGTGAGTATCAATGGCTATATAAGCAATTCTAAGTTCTAAAATAAGTAGTCGTCATCTGCTGGTATTTACTTGGTGTGTTCTTTTCCACCTGCACCTCTTTTTCTAAAAGCAAACGGGAATTGTCTCTCAACTATTGCACAAATTATTTGACTAGTTTTTAACCACTCTGGGAGTTGTAGCTCAACTATATGACTCTATATAACTAAAAATGAATTTGCACAATGTCATTTAGATCAGAGATAATTCTGTTCCTGGACAATTTGCAAGTGATCACTGAAAAATCATTCTATAGATTCACTATTATACTGTCTATCTGAATACATATCGATATACAAATGAAAAATTGGGAAGCTGCAATCATGGTGTCTACTTACGCTTCTTGGACTTCTCCTTGGCAGAGCCCCTGTGGCTGGTTGCACTTGTACCTGTACAGAAACAGTGCTGACATGTAAGGTTACACCAAGTGCATTAACTAAACTGACAGTCTACTTGTCTATTTTTGCTTGAACATAAACTAGTCAGGTAAAAAGATGCTCATGTGAAAAAAAGAAACCTATATAAATATAACAATAATTGTTTGTGGTACGGAACTAAATATGTGCTTGGTGTGAAAGAAATGATATTGTTGTGATGGAGTGTCAGCTGTTTTAACCCTATAGTATATCTAACCTGGCCTGCTGCCTGTGGTAAGACCCAGTATATTCTTGGTGGTAGCATCAAAATTAAAGGTCCTCCAAGCAAAAGCCATCTCAGGAGTTAAAAGTTCAGCTGGCAGAGTTTTCCTCAGAATGGAGTACAGGGACTCATTAAACAGCTAAAAGTAAAATATAAATATATATTTGAACATATATTATTTTTATATCATTCTATTTTGGTAGTCATAACATGTTAACAAAAAGAGACACTGAATTTCTCTTAACTGCATACACACAAACACACACACATGTACACACACAATGAAAATGTTCAATACCACTTGATCCTCAATCAGCATCAATTCACCATCATTTCTCTTAATGCAATGCAAACAGTATCCACAGAGCACAACTTTTAATCCAAACAATAAATATGCAAGTTTTCTCACAGACTCACCTTGAAGTGATTCACTTTGGAGATGGTCTTGACACTCCTGTATGGACAATGACAGTTACTGAGCTCCTCATAGCTCTGATGAAAGGCCAGAGGATCACTCAGATTGTTAATGCACTTGCCTATTAATTGCATTGTCTGGACAGCATTGTCCACAAACCTGCAACTCTCCTGCAAAGGTCAATTTAGAAGTGGAACAGTTGCTTAAATTGGATAATGGTCATTGTTCCAATTTGTCAACACTTTATGAATGGGAAAATTTTGGACATACTAGTTAGCTTCAAATAATATGTCAAATCAAAGTTGTTTATAATTCTTTTACAGAAAAAGTCTAGATTTCTCAACATACAAATCATCTTTAATTTTAAAAATAAATCACAGCCTTATAGTTTTAAATCTTTTACAGGTCAGGTCCAATACCACAGATAAATTTCAAGTATCTAAAAAATCTGTGGCACATTTTTTTATTCAAGTGACTTCATCCTCTCATTCACGGATTACATCTCATTATTCAAAGAAACAAAGTTGACTATAAAAATGGTCAAGAGGTTCTTACAGCTGTCAGTTTCTCCATGACAGTCTCCTCGTCCCCATACACAAACTGTACAGAAGAACTAAGGTGGATGTGGTAGCCTAGGGGGGCTGTCAACATGAAACGTAACACATGGCGTCTGTAATGTAAAACAAATAGAAAATAAAAGATGTACACATATATACACATCTTGATAAATACTATAGACTCCACATAACTTGGGCTAGAAATTTTTTGTCCGAGTTGTGTGAACATTTCAGTTAGATAATGTTCTTAAGCTTAGGTTCATACCAAAGAAACAATCCATTCCAAAACATTTGAGACAATATGAGTTATAACACAGCAAGTTTTCAACAGTTTCATCATAGCATTTTGTATATATCATATCATATCATATCATATCATATCATATCATATCATATTTATCCCCTTACCCTGGAGGCAATGTGAGCACAGCAGCCTTAGTGGCAGTTGTCTTGAGCCTCAGGATTGGCTGCCCAGTGACTAGACTCTTCCAGGAGTAGGGCTCAGCCACCAGCAGCCCAGGCTGAGCAGGAGTGGGCTGGGTGGGCTCCTTGTGGGTGGAACCTGCAAGGGACATATCACCTGTTAGTATTAGCAAAACATTTTTACAAGTAGGGGGGGGGTTGTTTCTGAGACTTCCATTTTAACAAACTGTGTATAAGGGTTGCATTTTACATCTTAGACTTGTAAATCAGCTTTCAAAGGATATCTCCAATTAAAGAAATTTGCATTAGGGGTATTCTAGTCAAAAGACTCTAAATATTCTTAAGTAATAAAGAATGATTTCAAGTCACAGAAACAAGTGCTTCTACCTAAGTCTAGTCTAAGACAAATGTTTAAGAGGTTAAAACCAGGACAAAAGAGTTCTGACATAAAGGAAACATGTATATAACCTCCAATCACTTACCCGGGTCACTAAAGTCATCTGAGAGTTCAAAATATAAATAAAATGCAAGTTTCAAATAACAAGCACTGCACACAGTATAAACTTATCTTTTGAAAAAAAAAATGTTTTTTGAAATCAGCACAACTTGGTGAGATAAGATTGAAATCATCATCTAAAATTCAGTTTAGAAACACAAAGCAAGTTTTGATATCACTGTAAAAAGAATAAGAATGGTATACCACTGCAAAATGTACAGATATGTTATCAATAATTTCAAATAATTTCTCAGTTTAGTATCTGGCCAATCAACTCACCATCTAATACACTGGCACCATCATCTCCTCCTTTATCTCCTTTCCCTCCTTTGACTGAAGTCTTGGATTCTTTGGGTTCCAGTGGAGCATCATGCCAGCGGGACAGCGAGGAGAAGGACACCACTATCTCACTGGGCTTGAGATTGTCAACAACTGAGAGATTGTTAAGGACTGTGAAACTTAACCAAACAACAGTTATATCAAAATTAAAATTATTATTATTATTATTATTAAAATTACTGTACTTTTTTCTTTTTTTCCCCAAGAGTTAAGAGTCTGTGTAGCCTAAAAATACACTGAAGTTTTTCATAAAGCAATTTTTTTCTGTTTTGATTTGAAAATTAATACAAGATTTGTTGTGGGTAGCCTAAAAATACACTGAAGTTTTTCATAATGCAATTTTTTCTGTTTTGATTTGAAAATTAATACAAGATTTGTTGTGGTTAATGAAAACGTGTATGCAAAAATTAAGTAGTATTGATATTTGTTTGTATAAAAAGGATACACATATAGTGTGGAGCTCTGTCATCATATACAGGCTGGAAACAATGAAAAACAATGAAGTATAATAATTAACTCAATGACACATAAAAATCAATCTGCTGCAATCAAGAACATTGATCTTTCAATTCTTTTTCCTCCTGAAATAATCTACACAAATTGACAGAGCACCAGAAAATCTTTTTAAACATCCACTGTGCTAAAAATGTGCTTAAATTAGGAACTATTCTTTGTTGGCAAAAAAAAAAATTATGATTGCACCATTGTACATGTATTTTAAAACAAAAAATGAACCAAACAATATTTTCCTTCCCTCAAAACAACACTAATAATAATAATAACTTATAAATTGCAATTGTTTTGGTATGTTAAAATGAAATAAATACAAAAAGGGTAACAATAGCATGCATCATTTTTGTAAGAGAAGTAAAAAGTTAAGTTCATTTCTATAAATTATGATTTAATAAAAGTGATAAACACTAAAAAACTACATAAAGGAAACCTCAGAAGGAAAATCATCAAGAAATCAGTTGTTTTTTAAAGAAATATTTCTTTTTAAAAAGTCAGAACATAGCTATAAAGTATAGCAAACAACATTGGAAGCTAAGCAAAAGTAAACTAAATAGAAGCAGAATACTTTATCAATGAAGTTTGTAATAAAACACAGGTTTAATGTAGAATTCTGCAGCTGTGACACCAAGAAAACATTAGCATAGTATTTCACTAGAAAAAGAAAGAAAGAAGCTATTTGGTAAAGAGATAGGAAATATACCAGATAACTTTCGGAGACCAAACCTTTGTTTGAAATCCTGTTCAGTTTATGAATCAAAACTAGTGTTTCCACTTTTTTCAAAATAGCATTTTTTCCCCGAAAAAATTTCAACTTTTTTAAAAATCTAAAACAGATGGTTGTTTTGAAGACAAAACCATGCACCATGCATAGCATGCACTTTGGTACACAGGTCTGCAAAAATTATAATAATAAATAAAATAAAACAAAATAAATAAAAAAAGTCTACAAAGAGAGGAGGTTCTACTCACTACTTTAGCAGTTTGATAGGGTTGTGGAGAGAGCCCAGGCTTAGCCCTAGGCCCGGGACTAGCCAGAGATGTAGCAGAAGTATTTACCGTGACGGTGGCGGTGGGGGCAGCTTTAGCGCCACCTTTTGTGCTGCTGGCTGGTGCAACACTCTGAAACACAGGAAAAACCAAACCCGTGCAAAACACTCAAACTGAACACAATGGTGCATAAAGTGATAATATAATGATGATGATAAAGAAGCTTTTGAATTGTTGTGTACAAAAATAAATAAATAAATAAATAAATAAATAAATAAATAAATAAATAAATAAATAAATAAAACATTAAAGAGATATCTATAAGTATACAAATATCTATAAGTGTTATCATAAAAACACAGTTATATGTTGGACACTCCCATTTCAAATATGGTTCTGTAAGCTCAAGCCTGAAATCAAATTGTCAGTGGTTAAAATGCTCACACCATCACTGTTATCCAATATGTCAAAATATTATTTTGCCTGAGCTGAAATGAGGCTTTTCAGTTTTTGATTTATCTACTCATTTATTTTATTTATTTTTTTTTTTCGCTATAAATTCGACTTTTTGTGATGGTTATTAAAATCATGTACTAGATACTAGAATTTAATATATAAAGAATAGGGCCTTTTTTCAGCTGAGTTTCAGTGTCATACATGTGTTAACATTGTGTGAGAGGCCAGGCAGTAGCTGGTGTGACTACAGTGGGTTTATGTCCTACGTGGCACACAGCTAGGACATTTACCGGGGTCCCTTTCTTGTCTTGTTTAGATGGTGTAGCCACTGGAGCCCCTAAGGACTGAACAAAGTGATGACACATGTTAAATGAACATTTAAAAAACTTCTTAACGCAAATCAGACACTCAATGAAGTCAGTAAGTGAGAACAGCTTGCTTGAAAAATAGAAATCTGATTTTTTTAGTGAGTTGAACAAAAAGTAGCATTTCTTCTCTGTGTCCTTTTTTCCTTTCAATCAAGACAGATGCTGAGGAAAATATTAATTAATATATCTATTTCATTGAAAGGGACTGAAATAAAGTTGTAAACAAAATTAAATGACTGCAGGTTTTAAAGAACATACACACATCATTCTCTACATGCACATCATTCTATAAACCTTTCCAGCTTTAAAATTGCAAGTTGAAAAAGGAAACACTGCATAACAAAGTTGAATTGTTCAATAAATATTCTTGAAGTTTAAATCCACAAGTTACTTTATCAATTCCCAATACTGTTGGTATAATGGTTTGTTTCATAAATAATTTCATTCAAAAATAGTAATTTTTGTTTCATAAATAATTTTATTCAAAAATAGTAATTAAGGACATCAAAATTTGTTAATTAGAGACACTCTCATTAATCAAATGATGTTACAAAACATAGTATAAAAACAGTCAATCACTTAATCAACAGAAATAAAGCATATTAGAGAACTGATTTAACATTGCTGAATTTGTTACTTTTGAGATCTTCTGTTTCGAACAACCGTTATTTGTTAGAACATAACTTTTTTAAATAAAAATCATATATCAAACAAAAGGAAAATGCATCAACTGAAATAAAATTAACATTACCGTGGTTATTATCAAAAATCTCATTACACTTAAATGGTCTCAATAAACAGTTAAATGTTACAATTTCCAGAAGTCAGTCGAATAGATAAAACAGCAGTCAGTAGGTTACATATAGACACAACTGTTCAAAACTGTTTTAAATGTTTGAAAAGAATCAATATAAACACATCATCAACTAACAACTATCACACAGTTCCTGGATCTACCAACCTGTGCTGTCAGCCTTTCTAGTTTCTATAAGCCAAAACAATACTAGCTATTATTACATCTTTTACTTGCTACAGGAAAATTTGCATGCATAATGGCCAGACCAGCCCATCTGGGTTTAAAACACTTGTAAATGTATTGTCATTTTAAATACTCATAGCAGTGTAATCATTAAAACTGAAAGTTATAACTTCTACAACAAAATACATTATCATTTCTGATGACAAAAATTCAAAAGACCTAATAAAAATTTAAAAGGTGAACTAAAGGGCATCTGTAATGCCTCACTCATGAAGTGCACATCTAGTTTTAAAACTACTAAATCGTCTTACTAACATAACTGTCTTTTTTTAATGCACAAAAAGAAAATGAGCTATTAAGCTTAATCAGTAACCTACTTGCCAACTACAATAAGACTGCACATGTACATACCTTTAAGTCAGAAAACTTGTGGTTACATGCATATGTATTGGGCTTGTGGTAAATGTAAATAGTTCTGAAAAAATAAAAAGAAATTTCTCTTAAGTATAAGTTGTTAAACGTGCTTATATATAAGCATATAATCTACAAAGTTGTTAATATTTAATTTTGTTAAATCTTTGTGTAAAAATACAACTTGAAAAATTTCAAATCAATTTTAAGGTTTTCATAAACATATTTCAATCAGTTTCAACATTTAATATTCTTTATCATCCTAGACCTTCCTCAGTACCCTGGCTTTCACGTTCCTTTATCGATTATTTTTTGTTTACATTTTACATATGATAACTGATAAGACATGTCCTCAGACTTACTTGAAGCACTTGACAAAGGTCTCAAAGTCCATCCACAGGTTGGTGGGTTTGGGTGGCTCAGGGGTCTGCTCTGCCGCCTGCTCCTCCTCTCCTTCTGCATGTGGAGCATTGGGATCAAAGACCACAGAAGGTGTCGCATCTGGAAACAGGGCAGAATTTATGACTGGCTGTTTACAAACATTATCTATATATAAAACTGAAGTCTATAAATCCTACAAAATTATATACTATCAAATGTAAACTGATTCTTTCACCAGACTGATTTTTATCAACATGAGTTAGTGTAATGATGGAAATTGTGCGAAGATGCAAATTTGATTGAATGTTCTAAATCATTAATCTTAATGTGGGTGCCAGTGTCTATGCATGATAAAGGGAACAGGGCTGTTTGACTAAGGTTAGGGCTCAATTGTCATAATTAATACCAATGACTTGCAAAGAAATTATATTAAGTCTTAAAGTCTCTGTATACGTAGATTTAATGGAATTCTCACCTGCCCCTCTGGGAAGTGATGCTGCACTTTTGGGGTCTTTCTCCATCTTGGAGTCTTTAGATTTGATGGAGTCTGTCCTGTCTCTAACTGTTGAACTCTTCTTCCTCTCCTTCCCAGGGGAACCTAGGCCTTTCTTGGGCTCTGGTTTGGGAGACTAGAACAGAAGTTAACAATAATGATAATCCTAACACTAATTAATTCTTTACATTTATTTTTGTGTCTGGGCATTTTTTTTTTCTTTATTTATAGCAATTTCATGTTATCCACTAGCTTTTTGACTCGTCTTAATACCGCTTCCCATTGAATTAATGTGAGATAACTCACATGCAGTATATACAGTATGATGTACATGAAATCAAAATAAAGATTTTCAGCTGTCAGTATGCCCATCAAACTGAGACCCCTCTCAAAAATAAAATCATCAAGTTATAATAGCAACTTACAGCCTCCTCTTTCTTAGCTGCTGATCCCACTTCTTTCTTTTTCTTCCCACTAGGTGTGCCTGGCTTGGAGCCACTGGGCTTACTGGCTAGGCTGGCTGTCTCTACAGCAGGCTATAACACAGGAGAATAGCTTGTGAATATTGTGATTATATGAAGCAAGTGTCACAACTAAGGATTTACAAAGCTATGGATAATATTGCTCAGGGAGGTGTCTATGGGGTGTACTATGGAAAAAAGCAATAAATATACAGGATACATGTCGCAGAGGAAATATTGGAGGGCACAAAGAATAAGCTGCTCTCAAATAACTTTTCTTTATATGTCTTAACTCATTTTGTACCCGATGTAAATGTGAAATGAGTTTGATTTATGGACTGCTTTTAGCTTTCTATGGTATACCTACGAGCTCTGATTATCTCGAAAATATGCATCGATTCAATGAAAACTAATCAAAGCAAATGAAGATTTCCATATTAAGTCTCCTTGCTCTGTAACAATACTTCAATTAAGGACATAAAATATTATTGTATATAGATATTTGAATTTCAGCATATGTACACTGACAGACAATGCTCATCCACATTTACATCCAAACATGCATAGCACATTGCATGTGCAGTAAAACCAAACATATCAAGGTAGATGTAACAACATTGAACTTAACTCTACATGTACATTAATACCCGTAAGTAAAATAAAATTTACAATTGCAACTGGGACAACAACATTACAATCAGCCACTGATCATGAGCATGTGTCTTAGTGTTTATAGGGTAACAATAAAAAAACATGTGGACAATTATATTTACAACAAAAAACACCTTATGCAAGACACCGCCATATAATACAGGCTCATACAAATGTATAGGACAGCTGCTTCTTACAACATACATTACTGCACTGAAATTAATATATAAATTTTATGTGAAGTCTGACTATTGGAAAAAAAAAGTAATATTCAAACATCTCTCATCATGACCACCATAAACCTGTCCATAACATGCATAACTGCACCGAAAGAAAATGACATTCACTACATGCACTGTTCAAGTGGGTAAAAAGTCCTACACTACATGCATCACTGAAATATATTTTTTTTCTGCACAACATGCATTACTGTACTGTAGGCAAGCATTCCATATAACCCAGCACTTACTACAATTCTCACAGTCCTTGATCGGGACTTCTGTATGTGTGGGGAGGGTGGGAAAAGAAATACTAATGATGTGAAATGGAATACTTAATGCTATCATCTATTAGATATAGGTGAAATATGCATGCTTCTTTTATATACTACTATGATATGTAATTGTTAGTATAATGGGTACCGAAGAAACATCAATGTCAAGTGATCTATATATGCTTATCTATAAAACTAAAAGTTTCCTTGGGAAATATTCTACTTGACTGTGAATTATCTGAATGCTCTATTTTTCTACAGATATATATTATATACAGAAAGCAACTTGTAGCATCTTAATAATTATGGTGTAATAAATCATGTGATTAATCATAACTGATATAAGAATATCAGCACAAACAGTGACTTTAAAAAGTAGCACTGTTTGTAAAAGTTCAAGGATGAAATGGAATTTAGCTTAGTCAAGCAGTTCAGCCATTCCACGAAAAAGGGTACAATTCTGAATAATACCTGTCGCAGCTTATTTTCAGTAGTAAAAGCATCTGCAATTTAGCTTTTTTTAGCCTTTTTTAGCAGGACCCGATGTGTTCTACTTAAAAAACAACAATTGATATAGTACCACTTGCTTTGACGGGAACCCCGGGGGGTCTATATGCCGCAAAAAGCACGATTTCGACGTGTCGCTTCGGTATTATAGCTGATTTGCCACAAGAAAAAGTTTATATTTTCCCGTATTTTAGTGTTTTTAGTCCTCAACTAATTTGAATTCATGTTTCTTTTTATCATACATGGTGTTCTCTGTCGAATTTGTTGGTTAGTTACGTCACTGTCATAGTTTAATCAATGTCGCTCAGTAACCCCTAACCTCCGTAACGCTTTTTTAAGTCAATGTAAGAATAAAAGAAAATGCTCTTAAATGGCCTTCCTGTGCATTTTTCAAACTCATAATACATGAAGTTTAATAAAACAGTGCTATTTGTTAATTTTGAATGATGCGTTCCATCATAGAGAATGTTAACTCACAAAAGTCGGGGTGTCGCATTTAAGAGCCTAACCTCAGTAACGGACCAAATTTGAAGAAAATGTTGCTTTAGAAAGTTAAAAACATCATTTTTGTTAAGCAAGGACCAACTTCTTCCTAAAAAATTCATTCAATAGTT